GACTATTTCCTGTGAGGAAGAGGAAGGACCTTCCTTGCAGCCAGACCGGGCCAGAGGGACTGAAAGTGCAGATCCAGGAGTTCGGATTCTGACTTAGCAGCCATTACCTATCAGCTATGATCAGAACCAGTGAACGTCCTTCACTAGATGGGGCTTTGCAAGACGATGGAGAGGTCCTGAGCAGCTCGGTAGGTTTGGGAGCTTAGGGATCAGCCACAAAGTACGCTCCCCCTTGACCAAAGGTTCCAATTGGGATGACACCGTCTAAGGTAGGGAGAGCAGAACGCAGCATGGTCACATGTTTCTGTCCTGGTTTTTGGAAGAGCTGGGTGAGTGGAATGTCTTGAATGCTTAGACCTGGATTTGAAGCATGGGTCTTAGGATGTGCTAGGTCTGTTGATGAGGACTGGCCAGACCCATATGAAAATCTTAGAAAATCTAGTTCTTCCTTCCCAGGGGAGTTGGTTACTGCCCTTGAGCCACTGAGCTGTAGAAGGGGTGGGTGGGAAGTTGACGCAGGGCACGGGAGGCACGGGTTTCGTGGAAGGGTTCAGCATCAGGTGACATTCCAGCAGGCTCTACCCAAAGCCCGCTTCCGGGTACATTTCCTGAGTGATCAGCCATGGGCAGCCAGTAGTAGGGAGTGAGTGTTTAACTCCTCTGGATCCTGGTTTCCTGCTTCTTAATGTGGCTGCCCTGGTATGAATCCTCTCAAAATAACCCAGCAGTCTCAGCTCACAGCGGGAAGTCCTGTGAGCTCCAGGGGAAAGGAGCCCTGTACTGCACCTGGGGCAGTCATGGCTACCACAGGCCCAGAAGCCAAGAGAGGTAAGATACAAACTGTTTACCAGCAGCCCTGGGGCTCCCAGCCACCCCCACTTCTCCGCATAAGTTCCAGGCTCCACCCTCAGCTCAGTGTGGGATAGCCTGCCTGCCTTTCTCCCCCCACACACAACCCCCTCCTTTTTCTTTCCTTCTTTCTTGGGGGTGAGTGGAAGACCCAGCCTCATGAAGCCCAGGCTAGCCTCCTATTCAAGAAAGAACTCACGATCTCCTGTCTCTCTGTCTCTCTGGTGCTTGGATTACAGGATGTGCCATCATGCCTGACGCTGAGGGATTCTTTTTAATCCATCAGGGCCCTTGATCTCTAAGTCACGGCTGGCCTCCCTGGCTCCCTTGAGAGATTCCACACGTTGTGGTTCAGGATCCCTGCTCCTGGGATACTAAAACTTCCTTCTTGGGAATGGGTGTGACCTGTAGCACATGGGTTGACTATACCCAAAATGGGCCACCAGGTTTCTACCCTGGCTTTTTTTTTTTTTGAGACAGGGTTTCTCTGTGTAGCCTTGGCTGTCCTAGAACAAGCTCTATAGACCAGGCTGGCTTTGAACTCAGAGATCCACCTGCCTCTGCCTCCCAAATGCTGGGATTAAAGGTGTGCACCAACAGTGCTCTTAATTGCTGAACCATCTCGAGCCCCATAAGATAATCCTTTCTGATCCAGGCCTGTTGGTTCACACCTTTAATCTCAGCACTTGGGAGGCAGAGGCAGGTGGGTCTCTGTGAGTTTGAGGCCAGCCTGGTCTACAAAGTTCCAGGACAGCCAGAGCCACACAGATAAACCCTGCCTCAAAACAACAAAAAGTCCTTTCTAGGGGAAATGAGGAAGGCTTCTCAGAGGCAAGAACACTGACGCAAGGGGGAGTTTTAAACACTTTTGTTCAGACAGAGGTGGGGTAGAAGAGACAAAGCTTGAAGACAGAAAGACCAGCACAAGCCAGAGCTCAGCAGGACACAGACTGGCAGGCCTTCTCTAGCGATGGTGAATGGAATTGAAAGGATGCTGGAGAAGCAACTTCTTCCAGTGTGTGGTTTCGGAACAATTAGCTGCCTTTTTGTGGAGAGATCTGTGGCTCCGAGGGCTGGACCATCGTCACACAGGGAAAAAGAGTCTGGCCTCAGACCCATCTGTAAGTGCCAGGCGCGTGGGGGGGGGGGGGAGAACATTCTAGACACGTTGTATTTGGAGGGTGGGGTTATCACTCTCGTTTTACCAAAGAGGAAAGTGAGGGGTCAGAGAGTCACACAGCTAGCGCGTGGCACTTCTAAGACTCTGAGATCGAGGGGCCTCCGGGCAGCTCAAAGACAGGCCAAGTGAATAAAGATGGCGTCAGTCTGCCTTTCAGCAGGAACTCGAGTATCTAGAGAGAAAAGAAGGTGAGGACAGCGCTGTGCTCCCTGCCAGCCTCACAACTCCAGGCTGTGCTCCTTGCCAGCCTCACAACTCCAGGCATGCTTTCGGGAGCAGGTGGGCAGTTCCTGCAACAGGCCATTTCTGGCGGCTGTTATACTTTGTGAAAACAGAGTAGCTATTGGGTTAAATCAGGGTGAGAGGCATCAGGGGGCACAGCTGTTCCTGTGGCTGGGGTCCCAGAGCTGCTGCCGATCTAAGGAACTTTAAAGTACTCCCGGTCTCAAGCAGCAGCCCACAGCAGGACTGACTCACTGGCAGGGCTCCCAACTCTTTCTCTTAAGACCTAAGCAGAGCGCAATAGGAATCTTGGAGAACCAGAGGTGGGAATCATCTGCCCAGAGGGACTTGCTTTGTCCTTTGAAGGCAGATCTTGTTCCAGAAGGGTGCCTGGGCGAACAGGGAAGAGCACAGAGTTCTCAGATACTGGCCTCATTTCTACTGCCCGACAGCCGCCTCTCAAGGCTGGCTGAGGGCAGGGCTCGGCCACTGCGGGGCCAGTCCCTTTTTAAATGACGCCCAGTGGGTGACCAGATGCTAGATACCCCTACCTGGTGGGGAAGGGGGGGGGGGGCTAAGAGTGGTGGCTTTGTTTTGAGACAGAATCTTGTGTAGTCCAGGGTGGTCTTGGGATGACCTTGAGTTCCTGATCCTCCTGCCTCTACCTCCCAAGTGTTAGAATTACAGGTGTGAGCTGCTATGCTTGGCAAAAATAGTCACAGTTTTGGAGGCTGTAGGGGAAAGAGAAGAGAGAAGGAAAATCGAGATGGTTTGCAGGGTCCTGCCACCAGTCTTGGACCACTTCCCTTCCTTGGGTCCCTGACCCCCACCGGCTCCCTTAGCTGGCGTCTCACAGATGCCAATGAGCCATCTCAGCAGAGTTAGGCATCAGTCGCCTAGTTAATGAAAAGCAGGCAGAGGCCAGGGCGACTCATTCCGCTCACTTAGGTCTAACCAGTATGTTTGCCTTTCTAGCTAGCGTGGGCACCAACTGCCTGCGCCATTCACTGGATCCTTAACCTTGGGGTGGGAGAAGGTACCCCTGCAGCAGCCACCCACTGAAATAGTTCGGGCTTTGCCCCAGACCGGCCAGAAACGGCAAGGCACAGAAAAGGATTCAGGGTTCTAGAAATCCTGGGCCCCACAGTCCCCACCGCCCCCTCCTAAGCAAACATTCCTCCCAGAGTCAGAAAAGAGCCGAGCTGTGTGCGAGGGGAGGAACCGGCCTGAGGTTTATCGCTCCGGCAACTCCGGGTGATTCATTGAGTTTAGACTCCAGGTTGTCATAGATGGAGGCACGCAAACACACAGCCAGCCGGGGAGGTACGGGTCACCAGCTCCCTGCCCTCCTCTACCTGGCTATCCCCTCGCCTGTGACCAGCTGCCTCCCCTCCCCCTCGAGGGCGCTCAGGGTTGAGCAAACACGCCCTGCCGCCTGCCCTGCCACCGGCTGGCTCCGACCGCGCTCCTGGCGATCCCCCAGGCAACTCGGCGTCACGAGAACCCGCACCCTGAGACCCGACGCCCTGCCCTCTCCCGCGTCCCCAGGGCCCCTGTCAGGCCCAACAACCTCTTGCTCTTGCGATTTGTCCCTTCCGGGGATACAGCGCAACCCAATCAGACCCACTCAGTGCTCCGAGGACAGCGCAGCCCACTCCCGAGGGATCTCAAGCCCCAGGGAAAGTGGCCGGAAAAAAAAGAAAATCTCTTGTTTACTGGGCCAGAGAGGCCTCTGCTGGGATTCGCTTCCCTATTTCTGCGGTTTCTTTTCAGCGGATTCCTGGGGCTGGAGAAGAAAGGGTGGTAACTGGTGGATCCACCCTGGCAGGGAGTGGGGGTGGGGTTCAGGGGAATCCGAATTCGTGGAAAGGTCCCCTGACTTCAGGAGTGGCCGGACTCGGAGTCAGGAACAATGTGGTCAGGAGCGCAGGGACCACAGGGATAGCGTTGAACACTGTACCTCGGGAACAAAACTGAGAAGGCTAATTAGGACAGGTCACCACAGGGAACCGGGACGCGGGGAGGGGAACCCGCGATGAGAGAAACTCCGGCGCGGAGTAGTCAGGCCGACGAAGATGCTGGCCAATAACTCGCAGGGGTTCTGGGCTCAGTCCACAGAGTTAGGGGCATATGCCGTGGCATCCCTCATGATCTTGGAGACTGGGCTCTCCCGGGAGGATCACGCATGAAAGAGGGGGGCGCTCAGTGTGTGCTGTGTCCTCGTGTGCAAGCTCGAGAGGGGAGGGGGCGCGGAAGGCGTGACAAAGACGGACTTTACGTCTGAGTGTGCGCCTCGCTCCAGCGGGGAGCAGCGAACTGTGCCAGGCATGTGTCTCATGGGAAAGCCAGGACGAAAGTGACAAAGGCTGGGTGTCTGTCACGGGGAAACTCGCCAAGGTGGCCACTGAGCGTCTGTGGGTGAGTGCGATCGCTGGGAGATGCAACCAAGAAGTGTGCTGGATTGCACCCCGAACCGCTTTCGGGAGAGAAAGGCGAGTCCAGAAAGTGAGTACGCGCAAGTGCGCGCGCGCCCGCGTGCGGGGGCGTGGCAGTAAACAGCAACAACCCACACTCCAGCTTGGCCAGAAACTCGGATCTCCCTTCCCAGCTCGGAAGTGCTCAGCGGCCGAGCCTGGAGGTGAGTCCGAGGGGGCAGGGCCAGGCGCGCTTTGTTACTGGGGATGCGGATCGCTAGTACCTGGAGCGCTGCTGGCGCCGAAGGAGCGCCCGGAATGGAGGTGATGTCACGGTGATGCAGCCCGGCCCACCCTGGCCGAGAGAGGGGAGCGCTGCGCCAGGGGAGAAGGGCGGGAGAGCGAGCCATCGAGCGCACCCAGCTCAGTCCGGGGTCCCGGGAAGGAAGGCCCTACACCTCTGCCTAGGCCTGGTTAGTCCCACCGGAGCAGGCTCTGGCCCTGCGCCCTTCTTTGAGTCCCTCCTACGCCTGCCGGCGCCCTGCCTGGGGCCAAAGTTGGCTCTCAGCGCGACGCCGAAGCGGGCTGGCTGCGAGTCCCAGGTAAGAGCTGCTGCCTCGGCGCTCCGCCCTCGCCATCGGCAGGCCGGAAGATCTGGGTCCAGCTGGCTGGGAGAGGGCGAGGGCCAGGCTCGGGGTGGGAACCCGAGGGGCGGGCGACGATTGCACCCACTCCGCAAGTTCGCAGAAAGTTTCCAAACCCGAGCCAGCTGGGGACTTAATGGGTCAGGAAAGCCGGGTGCTGCGTCCGGAGGTGGACGGCCAAGGAAGGACTCCACGATCCGAGTGTCCGAGAGGTGTCCTTCTACCTACTCACGCTGTGGGAGGCCACGGTTGACGGTGACTGTAGGTTGGCGTCCTTTTCCTCATTTCGCTGCGGTGCGTGGGGAAGGCAGGTTTCTGTGACCCGAGGGAATGGGAGGAACCGAGCCTGGCTCCTTGCTCTTTCGGTTCAGACTTCCAGGGGCGCGCGAGCGGAGACCTAGTAGTCTGGTTGGAATCGGGAGGCGAGGGCTCCGGGTCTCTCCGCGGGAAGTTTGGAATTTCAGAGGCCTGCGGCGCCTCTCCTTGTGGAGGCCTAAGCTCTGGATCCCACCCCTTACTCGCCCCTGGTTTTTCCAGAGCGCTTTCCGCTTCCACCTCACGCCCACACTTTTACACGTACAAAGTTCTAAATCACTTAGGACTTCATGATCTTGATCCTGAAGTACAGACATGAGGATTTATGGAAGCGTGGCTTTGTACTCCCGGAGAGCCCCCTCCCCCCAACATTGTCTGTTATGTGGCTGGGAGGGGAGTGGTGTTAGGGATGGGGGTAGGGCACATTCCAAAGTGGAAAGCGGACCCTTGACTGCTTAGAAGGCTTCTAGGACTCCGCATGCTAGGTTATTTTGGTCCAGTTACCCACTCTTGGTTATGAAAGGGGGTCGGGGGACAGTAAACGGGCTGGGCTGTGAGTCCTTCCATACATTAGCATCTCCCTAGGTCCATTCTTACCGGATTCGTTGACCAGCCTTCTGGTCAGAGGGCTGAGACAATAGGATTTGTCCCGAGACTGAGAAAACAGGAGGAAGTGGTGGATGAGAGGATTGAGGAAGGCTGGCTAAGTGTCCACCCATCTTTCCAGGTCAGCTACTGAGGGGACGCAGCCAGGGAGGAAGAAGGATGCTTTGAGGTGTCCCTGGCTGAGCTCTTCCTTGCTCCATCGAATGGGGCTGTAGGTGGTCACGGCCTTTGGCTCTAACTCTGTAGCCTTGTTCCTACCAAGGGTGTGTGTGGGTGAGTGTGAGTGTGGATGTTGATGGGGGAGATCAAGGGGATGTTCTTCTGGAAAGGTGAGAAGGTGGAGGTCTGCTGCCTCACCTGTAACTGCTTAAAACCAGTCAGGGCTGGCAGAGTCTCAGCCCACCAGCCTTGCCAAGGCTTCTCTGCTTCACCTGAAGACAGAAAGGAGAAAGAGGATTTGGGAACTCAGTGCACTGCCTTCCACCAGAGTTGGGGCTGGGTAGGAAGCTGGCCCTGGAGAAAGGCTGATTTCCAAGGTAAATAAAAATATTTGTATGGAGCCTGGTGGTGGTGGTTATGCATGCTTTTAATCCCAGTACTAGGGAGACGGAGACAGAGGCAGGCGGATCTCTGTGAGTTTGAGGCCAGCCTGGGCTACAGAGTAAGTTCTAGGCCAGGCTCCAAAGCTACACAGAGAAACCCTGTGTCAAAAAACCAAAAAAAAAAAAAAAAAAAAAAAAAA